TTGCAGACTCGTCCGAAGCGATTTTCTCGCTTCAGATTCCACCATTTTCGATCGCACTTGAACTGTTGCGTTAGTCAGGAGCCGTGGTCTCACACTGTGTCAAAATCCCAACACCCCCAAGTTGATCTGGACAATGCCTTTAAGCACGTCTTTGTTTCTCAGTTTTGAGCCCCCGGAAAAAATCTACCAGATACATTTTTGGGTGCTATCATGTATTTACCATATAATGACCAAATATAAGGTCTGTAGGAATTCTGGAAGGAGACCCGGTTTTTGAGGTAGTCGAAAAGTTCTGATTTTGGGATCCAAATTTCACCTAGATCACGATTCAGACGAATTTTTGGCGGTCCTGTTGTAGAGCTTGCTTTGCTCTATCGAATGGTAATCTAAGTCTACTAAAAAAACAAAAGCAATTTGATTTATTTGGAAATATGATTTACTTTTGGTGCAGTCTAACCTCATGCGGCATTGCTGAGATTGGGGAGTTGGCGTAGCCTGAAGACTCTGTACCGTCCACTTGGAAAGATGGCACAAAGAAAGTGGAGATAATCGTAGTATAAAGTAATGGAGATTAAAAGGGATTTCCGGGGAATTCCCTTCGCTCTGAGAAAGGTCAGATCAAATAACTAAAGCTTCTAATGTGTGTGAAAAACATAAAATCTTGTGAATTACTAAATCAGCAGAATAGAGTTCCTGATAAGCCTGTGGCTTCCGTACATATGTTTCGAAATAGATATAAAACTAGCCAAAAATCAGGCGATGGCATAATTTCGAATGTAGCGCACCACTTTCTGCTAACCTGGTTCAAGACGCGATTTGCCCATTTTTCAAAACAGTATGTCTGTTCCCTACAGGCGATTTAACCAATGCTTGTTCTTCAAAATCGTAATAAGCGCCTTTCATGCCGTTTGCGAAAGAGAGAGATGATTTGAAATAGTGTTGAGAGGAGATCTAATGAGTTCATCATTTTCGACAAAAGCTGAGGTTCCTTTTAGTCGAAACTCGCAAAACAGTTCTAACGAACGAACACTTTGGTATGAGTCGTGCTCTGTAATGTAGCAGGATCTACTAAGCCCTATATACCAGGCCTTATATGCATCCTGGTCTAGTTCAAACTGTGCAGTACGGGTCGCGCGCAGATTACGATGGGCAGTCTTGCTTTTTGTCCAGCAAATTCCGGTGAAGATAATTTTGTTAGCCCAACCCAAATATTTTTGCAAGCTCGAACATAACTTTCTCCAAATCCAATCTTTACCTCTCTAGGGGCGGTATCTATCACTCCACTGTCATAAACAAAAGCCCGTACAAGTCGCTACATCTAACTATTGTACTACTTAAGTCGTTTTACGCTTTAACCAAACAAGAATATTATGATTGTGAAAGAGACGAAAATAAGGGAAATTACCCTGAAAATGGCATTACGAAGATTTTAAAAATCAAGATATCTCGTTTTTCAGAAGGCAAGAAATGGCGAGCATCACGACATCATCATCTGAGCTCTAATACTCATCTGAGCTCTAATACACTTGCCAAGCTTCTTTTTGGACAGGAAAGACTGGGTTTGATATTACTATTATTATTTTGATATCTCAGCACCTTTTTCTTGCAGATTTTTACCTATGGGCAGCTTTCCCATGTTTAGTAGTATGCCAATTTCGCTCAGTAAAAAGATCATAACTCGCTTTTGGTGGAGCGCAGCTGAAAATAACAATTGGATTCAACATTTGAAGCTGATGTAGATTACCTACGTCTCTTACCAAAATGTCGAGTTGAGTTGGATAGCTACCCTCAAGAAAATCTTTTGGGATAAATAAGACAATCTGCGCAGTTTTAACTTTACGCAAATAAACTCTGGAGACAAAGATGAATGAAGAGTAGTTTGAATGTTGTCCGGGGACGTTTTCGCACTATAGAAGACTAATCAGCGCATGGGCCTGTTCGAGGGAAGCAAGCTTTCACAAAGTAATCAAAACATGCATTTTCAGAAAGAAACTTTGGCAACTGTAAACAGTCAAAAACATTTGTTTCTGTAGGATCTAGTTTGGCTATGTTTGCAGTTGCTGTACTTTAGGGAATAGATTGCCGAAGCTTGAAAATCGCAGATCTGGACTCCCGTCGCATACTTCTTGTTGTACTACAAGGAAAATTACGCTCCTGTCACAAAAAAGAAAACGGAAAAGAAAAATGAGAAAATGTCAAGTTTTCATTTGTAAATTCTAACCTCGGAAAAAGTTTAGCAAACTACATTCATGTATATCATTAGGTCGTCCCAAAAGTAAACTCGCATTTTTATATAAGCGTCATACTTCTCGAAACAAGAATATACAAAAAGTGATAGCATTCGATGCAGTTCTCATGTTTTTCAAATAAACATATATCTGCGTGCCAGCACACTCGAACACTTCGTAAGAACTTCCAGAGGGCTATGGATTGTAATATGTTAGGTTCAATCTTTCATCATGGATTATGAGCGGATTTTGCATATAGCAGATGCTCCTAAAAAGAAACTACAAAATTACAACATTAACAATTCCAGATGGCGGTTAATAGGAAAGAACATGGAAAAAAAAGTTGCGCGGACAAGTGCGAGAGAAATTCTCAACATAAAACTATGAAAACGATATAAAAGGTGCAAACGATTAGGAGTCCAACGAGTGCACGCCTCAATTACAATAGGTTAGATGTCGAAGTGAACATTATACAAAAAGATTAGATTTCTTTGATCGCATTTCGCAGTTATGCATGAAGTAACGCGGCAGTAATACGAAATATGAAACCCTTGGGAAGTTCCCTCATATTAAAGTCCTCAGAAATTTCTGCATTCTGGGGGAATTTTCCGAGAAGATTCTCGGGAAGTTCTTAATGGCGTGCTCCCGACGTCGAAATTCTCGGAAAGTTCTCATTTTTGTGCTTTCATTCACCTCTGTTCTAAATGAAATCCACGCAAAGTTTGGCAAAAATCGCTTGGCCTCGGGAAATAACCAGCTTTCAAGCTCTTTCTGATGATCGTTGGAGTGATCGGCCACTTCGACTTCGCGACCCTCCCCCTCCCACTAAGATGATCGCAGGGGGCAGGCGGACCGCAAACTTGCGTTTTCTTGCAGTCGGTCAACCGAATTTTGGGGCGTGGCCAATCCTTTTTCGAGCGATACTTCCTTTATTGTCGCATGTTCTGTCAGCGGGAAGCGATATACAATTTTCTGCAGGCGCTCCTCAGATAATCTTTTTCAGCGTTGGAAAAAATTTCAGCAAAGGCTCTGACCGGTTCCGCAGTTTCGGGCATACGCCGAAAAGGTAAGACTTTTTATAATAGAGATGTCATTGGTGTTTTAATTACCTAAGTTTGGGTTACTTTTTCAGAATGTACCTACGGGCTGTGCGGTCCTTTACAAGAGACCACAAGGCCTTCAATAATCTTGCATATTCTCGCGGAATGTCCGCCACCGTGCCGCACTAATCTATAAAAAAGCAGCAATTGTTCTTTGAGCATTCGTCTAAATACTGCCAACATTCTTTCAAATATCTGTAAGCGGGCCCTAAAAAATCAGCGAAGTATTTTCCCGGTTTCCGCTTGCCCATAAATTGCAAGGCAGCCTGCCCCGGCGATCATTTGAACACGCATAGCAAAACCTTTTTCAAATCGGGGTGATGCATTTTTACTCAAAAACTCTAAAATAACTTCGCAAAAGGCAAAGGGCATTATTACTTCTTTTTTTTCTGCCAGCAGCACTCTTAACTTGTGGTCAGGGCCGGTAGTAATCTCCCCGACCTGGCGGCAGGTCTCGTCGGCAGGTCGCTGGCACCTTTTCCGTGAGGTGGCCAGAAAGTGAAACCCCAAATTTAGGCGTTACCAGGCTTATTTCCAAAAAATTTTCTCGACAAAGATGCCACCTAGACTCTCTAGAAAACTCCATACAAATCTGCGGTTCTAGAAATCCTCCTGTGGGAAAATATCTGGAAGCGCAGAAGGAGCTGCCGGCAACTTCGCGATGTAACTTGCCGGCAACCTGCCGGCAGCTCGTCGAAATCCGCGAGATGGCAGCTGCGGGCAGGTCACGGAGCACGGGAAATAGCGTGCTCTTTTGAGAGAGGGAGCTGCCGGCATCTCGACGTGCCCCTACCACGTCGAGGTGGTGGCACCTTTGCCGACGGCGTCTGCGAGTTTGCGAATTGCGGCGATATCACACAATTTACGTCAGGCGAAAAAATCAAAAATTCTACTTTTCATCAAAAATCTATCTTTTTTTCATTATACGAGTTTTTCTTTTTCAAAACGACGATTTTCTTACAGAGAAAAAATACAGTGATGTCTTAGAATCATAAAGAACATCATCTTGTTTGGCAATCCCTTATAAATCTCGTTTGCACCGATTTCGCCCCTCTCTCGCTCATATCAGTCAGCTGTTCTTTCAGGTCAAAGTCTCTCACGCAATGTATCGATCCCTCTTACAGGCAGCCATTTACCAGCGCGTTCCTCCTATTGCTGGTGCAAACGGAAATGGCTGACCGAATGGCCGAATGGTGAACGTGGTGGCACTTCAAGTTAACGCACGTAGGTTCGACCGCGCGCGAGGTAGCAGCTTTGCGGCTGTCTGCGTCATCAAAATTCAGTGTGCGAAATGATTGCGTGTTAAGGTTACATAAGATTATTAGATCCTACATTCACTCCGCGAGCTGCCGGCGGAGTTGGCATCTTTCCGCGATGTGTGCCAACTTGCCGGCATCTTTGATGCCACCAGGTAGGGTAGATTACTACCGGCCCAGATTCCGCTGCTCAGTGCATTCATGAAAATAAATTCCTATTTTTTCCTTTGTTTTCTGTGTTTCTTATGACTTTGCAGTTTTCGCTAGTTCTTTTCCTTCATCTTTAGCGAAGTGCAAACCAACCTTCAGAGTTTTCACTGCGGAAAGACCCCTGTCGCTTCCATGTGTTACACATGTCTCATGACGTGACAAACTTCAACTGACTTTTTTATTAGTTAGTATATTTATGTATTTGTAATTTGATTAATTCTAGATGGACTTTTCTGTCGGATTGCTTTTGCAAAGTATCAATGCAAGGCTTTCGTAAGCTGCCAAGATGGCGAAGAACGAGAAGAGCACAGAAGTCAGAATGATTGTCCATAACAAAACGATATCGTCTGCAAAGAATAATCTTCGTAGACACTTTTAGCAGCTTGAACTAACCATACTCCTCTGCTGTTGATTGTAAGGTTTCATTATATAGTCTTTCAAGGTACTCCAGTATGGCCTCATCATGAAACGTAGAAGGTGTCGTGGACTTTATGGTGGAGGAAGTGATTTCATTGGAATTTAAGGCATATGTAGAATAGTCTTTGTTGAAGCAGACTTTTGCAAGGCATAGGAGAAGCTGAGTGTGTTGTGGAGATGCGCGAAGGCCATTCTTGATTGATTCCTGAATCATGAATTTAGTGTAAAGAGCGTGATTATTCCGACTATCTTGCGCACATCAGAGAAACTGAGAGAAGGCGTTTCAAAATACAGTCTGTACCATATCCGTTCAATTTGCCCATAGGCTTATCACCGTGATTAAGCTCCCGAAGGGCGCCTATTAAACGCAGCTCGGCAAAGTGCGAATGCCGTGTTTTTGTAGCGCGTTAGTGATCTGTGATAGTAAGCCCCCTCATAAAGCGACAATTGAAGACGGAAAAGAGGGTCTACGCGGTCTAGAATCAACCCCGAAAACGGCTACGCCCCATCCACCGTGCAAGTTAGAGCGCGCGACACACGGTGATACCATGGGGTTCACAAAGATTGAGCGTCTCCTAACCGACCTTAGCGTGTCCTGCACGTGCCCAAACCAAAATCAAGAGCTATGCAAAAGTTTTCTTTTTGATATTTTTTGTGTTACCCGTGGATTCGGCATTACGGATAAGCACGATGGAAAATGGAAAATTTTCGAAGAGAGGCTTTGCGGGCTTTGCCTTTGAGCGTTCAGACGAGCTCTGCAAAATAGGCTTCTTTTGGGCCTTACGCCTCTCAAGTTAAAACTAGAAACAGAGAAAACTTCACGTTTGCCACCATTCACTTTTCAACACACTTTATGCTCACCATTTTCTCTTGAACTATGTATAGGCGTTTGCGCGCAAAAATGAAGCGTAACTATGGGCGCTGTCGACTCCTCGCTGATTAAGCGCTTTATCATTCCTATCACCGTCTGCTGTCCCTTCCATGCACCAACTACCTTAGTCGGACGCAGTGACGCCCATTCTGTGCAGCGATAAATCCGCAATGTATTGTTCACTACTTACTATAGTCTTTTCGTAATTTTTCCAATTAAGCGTGCAGAAAGAAATTTTCCTTTCAAAAATGAGGGCGAAAAGTTTCTATACACAATACTGCTAAATTTTGCTTTTACCTGAAGCCAGGGTCCACGTGCTAATCCTCGAGTGCAGACAAGAAAATCGTGCTGATACCATTGTTTGCATGTAGTTTCCTACAAATTAACGCTTCTACTCCTTTCAAGCAACAGCGAAACGCTACTCACATTAACATCATTAAACATCTTCCAGTTTCTAAACTGAACCTGTAATGAATGTGGCGAGCAGCTTCGATCTTCATCTGCCCATGAAACTTCTGCTACCACTGATGAACTGGCGTATTGCAGTTCACATAACTAAACCTTTGTTGTATGAACTACCGAACAAAACTGTGTAAGCTCACTTCATCTTCGGTGTCTCCATCTGCTAATTGTGCAATGCAGTTGCAACACAGAAGCGAGAAGCTCAACCATTCGCGCATCTAAAGACAGTGAGTATGACACGTATTCAGATTACCGCAAAGAATGAAGGAGGAAGTAGAGCTGATAAAAGAAAGTTCGGTATACTGTATTCGCAAACAAGTTTAGATGAGGTTCTCAAGCACGGCAAAAGGTAGTTGTTTAATAAGAAGCCCGGTTAAGAGAGGCGGATTGGCATAGTTCATACCTTCGATAGTCTAGAGACAGGGCGCCAAAAGTGATGGTTGTTTGAACATCTGACATCATAAATAGTGAAGGTTGTTTGAAGAAGTTCAGACAAGAAAAAATGGCGTAAAACAGATAAAAAAAAACAAAAGAAACTGCTGAAAACCGGATAAAAACGCTGCAAAGAGGTCTGAAATTGTTCATTTGGCGGCTTTTCAAAGTGCAAGTTTTCGCTCCAGGACCAGCAATTCGCAATGCGGGGTTTTGATTTTTGATGCGTCCTTTGAATTTTTACCCCCGCATTGACGTTCCTGTTTCCTGCGACGTTGTCTGAATTCTTCCGCTCATCATTCTGAGCAAGCATCGTCCAAGATGGAGAAAATTCGTTGCGAAACCACTGAAAAAGAACAAGGTAAAGAAAAACGCATTTTTGGCAATTTTCACATAAAAACCCGGCATAAGCAAAGAAATAAGCTCGGCGACGTTGTCTACAATATAGGCAGAAACAAGTCCTATCGACTACACAAAAAAACTGCGTGAAAAGAGTTAAACTAGAAGAAAAACAAGAGATTTTCGAAAACAAGGTTTTTGCCGGATTTCTCGTTTAAATCACAAAAAGTACTCTTGCGACGTTGTCAGCGAGAAAATAGAGATTAAGAGCTTCAAAATGAGATATAGCTTGCCAGTTTTGGGTTCGAAACAGCGAAGAAAAGGGTACCAGAGCCAAATGCCCCGCGCCCCGCGTTTGGGGTAGCGAGGTAGCGCGCAGCGCGCGGAGACGCAGACGAGCAGCGGAGACAGACCAGAGCCGGCGGGGCATTTGGCTCTGGTCATTGATCTCCGCGGGGTCATAACGAAACCCTATAATATTATATATCGTTGTGATCCTCATGACACGGCCAGGAGCACTGACAACGTCGCGGGTCTTAAAAATCACTCCACAACGAGATAGACCAGCATTTATGTGGCGGCTCTCTGCGCAAGATTTGAACGCAGTTTCTCGCTTTTATTGAACTCCAGCGGCTTTCATGAACCTCCAGCGTTCAATCGCAGTCTAGAGAAAGGTTAATTGATAAGTTTTATCCTAATTTCTAGCTGGGTTTTTGAAGAAAAACCTTCTTTTCAGCAAAAAAAAGGCCATGAAAACGCAATCCTTCGATTTTTTGAGCTTTTTTGGATGTCACTACTATATTTGCCTCATTCACATTCACCCTTACATGATTAGTCATTAGTTATGTCATAATATCCGGGGCTTCGCCCCGGATGACTTCTGTACTCCTCTCCAGGTGAAGGTCGTGTCCTCTCATGACACTCAAAGTGAAGGTTACCAGAGTACGTGGCTCTGTGTATCGAAGGTATGGCATAGTTTCTTTCCGAATGTAGAGCGAGGCTAGTATGGCAGTTGACGCTGACGAATTTGTTAACCCTCTATTCAAAGCTGCTTTTCTACACTCGCCACATATCATCACGCTAAATCTGCCATGTCTACTATTTTCTGTAGAAAGATCGTAGTAAGTTGGTTGAGGCATTTCATCGTGATTCAAGGCAAAAGTGTTTGTTACGGGCTTCTATGCTCGAGTCATTTGTAACTTAATATGCGTAATGCACATCATACGCCCTAATCGACGAACTTATAAGATTATAACCTGCTCATTTCAGCGATTTCACCTTGTTTCTTTGCCTCTTTTAGTTTAATAGGAATATTGGTTGATTAGTAGTATACAATTTTACAGTTTGTTACGTTAGAGAAGATTTGATCGAGAAGTTAATGTTAGGGGTACCGTATGTTGAAACGCTTTGTGTGCAGGCTCACATATTAAGTTACGAATGACTCGACGATAATCAGTCATCTTCCTTCTGCACAGCTAGAGAAGGCAGATGATGCATTGACGGAAACTTGCAGAGGTTTGAGCACTGCATTTCTGAACATGACTTATAATAAAAAAGTTGAGCGTCTGTCTTCTTGTGCGTGTGTGAATGTTGTCTGTCATAAGTCATAGAGGAGGCTGCAACCAATACCGAGCTCAATTTGCTAAGATACCGTACCAGCATGTGGCTCCAATATGCACAAGGTCGAGCCGCTTTGATAAGCGGGTCGACCTAAATTGGTCAAACTCTCCACGCCGCTTTTGGCACGCAAAACTAGGCAGTTTATTTGATTTTGCGAAACACGATTTATCACGCAAACACATTGCACAAACATAGTAAACCTGCGCTCCGTAAATTCTAGCATAAAAAGTTTGCTTTTCTGCAAAAACAGCGAAAGTGTGATCCCGTGGATAGACTTGGCAAGGTTCTACCTAAAAAATTGAAAAGATTTTTGCACGAAAATGTATCCAAAGTGACTATATTCTTATGGCGGTTTTCAATTTATTGAAAAATTGAAGAAAGCAAAAAGCTAGAAGCTAAAAGCTAAAAGCTAGAAAAAAGCTCGAAAAACTAATTTAGTAATCCATTAAATGCGCATGTGTTCCTTTGCGAAAAAGTTTTCTTTCTCAAAATTACCGATCTTACATGGAGATGCTTCAAGAAGGAACAGTTGTTTACAATTTATTTGTGATGTGCAGCACATCGCGTGATGAGTTTCGAAGTCACCATTATAAGAGCACGAGAAAGGCATACGGATAGCATAGCCATGCGAACTTCCGCGAAGCGGAGGTGACACTGGTGCGAATGTATTCGCATTCGATTCGATATTCGGAGTTTTCCATTTTCGAATAAAATGCGAAACTCGAATTAAAAAACAAGGATATGAATAAAATTCGAAAACTGAATAATCGAAAAACGGTTTGAATAGGTTTCATTCAAATGTGTAATATCGCGGAACCGCGATCTGAATTCTGATCGCAAGTCATCAAAAGACATGAAAAGAAGGCGCAGCTGCAAAGTTAACAGTGCGGTTGGAGGGCCGGCTTTGTTAACTTCACTTCCATCCAGTCAGCGTCCGCGACTCGTTCGTCAGAAGTTCGTCTTCCCTTATCGCCAGTTAACCTCATCATCACATATTTTCTCCTCATTAATTTGTACTGTATTATTCGACACGTTTACTTATAATAACGGGCTAAGAATGTTTACGTGACTTTGTGTGTGTGTGTGTGTCTGACAATGAGAGTGCGTTTGTTACGAAATTCGTAGAGCGTGTTCCAGCCAACCTCCTGGGCTCAAAATTTGCACAGCGCATGCTACCCGCATAAAAGGCGAACACGCGAAAGCATGAGCAGATTCGTTGATTGGATCCCTCAGAAACTGCGCATCAAATGGATCCACTTTGCATTTGGGCCGCAAAATTGGGTCCGTAATTCCACTTATTGCAGTCGTGGATGTTTATGCCAAGTAAATGTGCAAACTATGAACTTAGGCCCAAAAAAGTGATCAAAAATCCATTACTTTACAAGAATGGCGCCAAAAAGTATTGGTTGCGTAAACGGTCAATTTGCCAAGGTTTACCAGACCATTTGACGGGGTTTTTGCACAAAGATGTAACCCACGGTGACTGCTGTTCTTACTGCAACTGCAAAGACCATGAAAAAATCAAACACTTATAAAAATTTGCATTTGTTTTCCTGCAAAAAGTCTCATCCACGCGAGATCACCGATTTCACACAGAAGAGCTTTCGGAATGAGGAATTTTTTACATTTTGTTCGTGATAGTCGGCATTGTTCGGTGAGTTCCAATGCTATCATTATGCGAGAATGAGTAGGGCCTAGATGTAGAGACAGTGCGAGCCTCTGCGAAGCAGAGGTGACGCACTGGTAAATCATAAAGAAGTCGTGGTCAAGGACAACAGCAAGTGGTCAAAAGAGCTAACACATGTAAATCGAATTCGCATTTGAGAAATCCGTGTCTAAATTACTCGAATTGGTTGCGGAGATAACTGCTGAGTAAGAAGCTCGCTTCGTCTGCGTTTTTACGAAAAACTCGATAATGCATTTTTGCAGCCGCAATCACCTCTGAACGGTAAGGAAACTCGCATTCCCCCAACTACTTGCGACAGTAAAAAAATAGATGTGAATCTTCGATCGATTGCTTTTTCCATCAATGAGATAGCTAGCGCTGCTATTGGCAGCAAATCAGCAAAAAAAACAGCTATCGAATTCAAGTTCATGGTCCGAGTTCATATATTGAAAGTGTGTTGAAATATCTGTACTTCCCTTGCGTTGCTCATGCCTTCGGTCCGCAAGGTCCAAACTAATGAACTCTCTTGCTTGTAAAACACATGTTGCACAACTGCCTTTATTCTTTACCTTATGTCTAGAGATTCGAATGAGTGTGTACTTTGAGTAAAGGACATTGTGGCTGTAGTAAAGAACTTCATCGATTTTATCAACTGAAGGACTTTGAGCCAGGGGTTGGGAGTTGGTACAGTGAGAATAAATGAGGATGCCGATTATGAACAAAAACTTACTTTATAGATTGTTAAAAATTTTGAGTTACAGAGCTGGGGTTTGGTATAATGATAAACGAGGACGCTGATTATCAGTAAAATCCACTTTATCAAAGTTGCTGATTTTTGGAAAATCTTGAGCTACGGAGCTGGGAGTTGGTATAGGGGGTGTGAGGGTGCTGATCATAACGGATGTGCTTTATCCGGGTATGTCAGCAAGTTTTAGAAATGGTTGCTCTAGTAATTCGATAAATCATTCGTGATTATTCGGAATTAGACTCCCAATGTTCGAATATGTTCCATATTCATTCATCCGATATTTTTGATTTTCCGATTTTAATCGGGATTCATTTATTTGAAGAATTTTAGATCACGAATCTATGCAATGTTCGTTTATGCCCATTTTTTTCATTTTCGGATTCATTCGTTATTCATTCAATCCACAAAAAGTTTTATAGTTTACTAGCTGATGTACCCGGCCTTGCCCGGGATAATATCATTTACCATCTTTGCCGATATGTGTAACATGCAAGAGCATAACCTATCTTTGAGTTTCATTTGCAAATCAAAAACCTTCAACACAAATTGCAATTGCTGGTCCTCGCAATTGATGCAGTGCTTGTTTAAGGGTCATATATTACAAAACTTACCCGGTAGTCACCGGTTTAGTTGCTTATGCATTGCGAAATGATCAGAATTTGACTCTCATTTTCCCGTCACTCACAACATTGGTCCGTAACTACCTCTCTTTCATGGTAGGTAACCATTTTTCTTTTACATCAGGAAACATTAAAGAAGGAAACCACTATTACAGGGGGTGACCGCGTAGAAAAAAACACAGGATGATCGACTCATCATGCAGCGTCAAAAACTCCACCGGCAGACTAGTAAGGACGGCAACATTTATAATTATTATTATCGTCAATACTCGTAAGCCGACCGTCTCTGTGCGGTTTTGAACCTATGGTCCAGAACCATACAGAAACGATCAACCCACGTGAACTAAGCAGCTGAATCAAATCTTAGGTCAACTTGAGATCCCAGTTGCTAAGTTAGTTAAATACGCATCGTATCCTTTCCCGCCTCACCTAAGGAAATCGCTTTCGTCCAAAACAGGCTTCTTCTTAAATTGGGGCAAGAACCTACCTGCGATTTCCTTCATCAAGTTTCTTTTGCCAAGATAAAGAATGAGATGCATTGCTCACTGTAAAGCAAGTTATGGAATGGTGTGATAGGCTTTCATCTTCCCGCATGTACGTAAACAAATTGATAAATCGATGGAAGGACCCATCGAACTGTCGCGAAAAGTAGCCTATGTTCCGCGCCGCGGCTTATTTATATGGGAGCAAAATTCAGCTCACTCGGTCCACTCAGAAAG